TTTTTTTTTTTTTTTGGTATGTGTGTGGGAAGGTTCTATTCTATCTGGGGTTTGCTGAGTTTCTTGAATGCATATCTTTTCATCTTTCATATTAGGGACGTTTTCTTCCAGCAAATTTTTGACAATTTTCTTGGTTGCTTTTTTTCTTTTTTCTTTGTCTCTTCCCATTGTAGAATTCCAGTCACATACAAATTGATCCTCTTCATGGTGTCCCAAATTAATCTTAAGCTTTCATTTTTATCTCTTTTTTTCTGATTGTTCCTCCAATATATTGGTTTTAGGAGATTTGTCTTCATTCTTGCTAATTTTGTCTTCCATTGATTCAATTCTACTCCTTTGTCCTTCAGTGTGTAGTCCATTTCTGAAACTTTAGTATTAATCTTTTGGATTTCTATTTGCTGTATCTTTTTTTTTTTTTTTAAATTTCTAATTATTCATTAATTTTGTCAGTTTGTTCTTGTATTGCTGCTTTGAATTCTTCTAGAGATTTGTTTGTGTTTTCCTTTTGTCTGTTGCTTCCTCAAGCTTTCTCTCAGTTTGTTAATTGGATCTAAATATAATTCTTTTGAATTCCTTACCAGGTAATTCCACTAACACTTCTCCCTCTGGAAGATGTCCTGGCCCTATATTTTGCTCCCTTGTTTAAGGCATCATGTTCCGTTGTGTGTGTGTGTGTGTGTGTGATTTGAAGTTGTCTGCTATCTCCAAGACATTGTAGCGTTATTGTATTAATTTGTTGTTTATATGTTGGGTTTACTTCTTTCTGATTTTTTATTATGTTCTGAATTAAAATATCCAGACAACAGAGTGGTTGTGCTATTCTGGTTGCTAATTTGGCAGTACTGGGCCACTCATCACCTGTCTCTGGGCAGATCTAGTAGCAAGTAGTAGTGCTAGCATATGTTTCTGGTCACTGATACTTGCAGACCAGCTGAAAGTAGGCTGGGTAGGTGTTGGCTGCTAATCTGTCATTGGTCCAGTAGTGCTGGCTCTGGTGGTGACACTTGCCCAGTGGGTGGGGTAGCAGGTTTGCTTGGGAATGGTTTGGTAGGGTCACTGGCTTTCAACTACTGGGGAAAGAGGGAGGCAGAGAGAGAGAGAGAGAGAGAGAGAGGCCTGGGAGAAGAATGTTAAGAAGGGAGAGGAGAAAAAAGAAGAAAGGAAAGATAAAGGGAAAAAAAAATGGGGTGGTGGTGCAGGGAAGATGGGAGACCTAAGAGGAAAAAGGCAAGAAAGAAGGAAAGAAAGACAAACAAACAATAACCACAGAAAGCAAGAAACAAGTGGGAAGTGACAGCCACCAAAAGGCTGTAGCAGAAATGTTGGACTCTGTGGGAGGACACACCAATGAATATGGAGGGTCAGGGGCTGCACTACTAAACCTGGAGGTGGTGGAGAAGTAGGGTACTCACTCAGCTGGATCCCCGCCCCCCTATAAAAAAATGGAAAAAGGAAAAGCAGAAATAATGGTGAAGAAGCTGGAGAGAAAAAACAAAGAGAAAAGGGGGAGGGACAAAAGGAAGAAGGAAAGATTGAGAAGAAGGGAAGAAAGAAAAATAAAAAAGAGGAAAAAACCAAAAACGATTGCTGCAAGTGATAACTGCCAAGCACAGCTGCAGCAGGAACACGGAGCTCACCTGAGAGCTCACACCGTCTCCCATGGAGGGGTCAAGGGGTTGCTGCTGACCACAGCAGTGGAGGCAGGAACAAAAAGAAAGAAGACAAAAGAAAAAACAAAACGATAGGGTAAAGAGGGAAAAACAAAAGGAAAACAATGGGGAGAAGCAGAAGGAAGAAAGAAAAAAGGAACAAAGAAAAAAAGCAGCACTATACTATTCCAAGGAGCTCAGATAGCCTAGTGCCTAAGGCATTTTACTGCTAACCAGAAGGCTGGTGGTTCAAATCCACCAGTCACTCCTGGGAAGGAAGGTTGGGCAATCTACTTCCATACTGATATTGCCTTGGAAACCCGAGGAGGGATTGCTATGAGTTGGATACGACTCTATGGCAGTGGGTTTGGTTTTTGTTTTGTTATACTATTCCAAGTGCAGCCACCAAACACACCTGCACCAAATGTACACTTTCAACAGGGAAGGGTTGGGAACAGGTGCTACTAACTTAGTGGACAGTGGGAGAGGGGCTCATGCTCTTTGGGGAAAGATGGAAGAACTAAAAAAGATTAAAAAAAAATGCGGCTCAGCACTGGTAGAGGAGGGAGTTTGACCAGCTTCTCTGTGGGTGGGGCTAGGGAGAGCTGCATTTCTGGCCACTGGGAGGTTGTGCAAGGAAAGGGGTGGGGAATGCATCTCTCTGGTCACCTGATCACCAGTGTGGGTGCTCAGGTGCAGCCCAGGGCAAGTGGAGCTGGTTATTTGGTTCCTGCTCTGATCAGAACGCTGCTTGCAATAATTCAAAATGGCTGTGGCTGGGCTGGTTAGCGGTTTACCACTGCTTCTTCACTATTTTCATTCAGTCTGTTCCTCTCATCAATATTTGATCTATTTTTTTTTATCCTTTTCTTTGAAGCTCTAGGATCCAGGATTATTATCTATAGCTGTTTCCCTTGTTTTCTCGAGTCTTTGTTGTAGAGTGTCTGGGTAGTGTGTCTGCATAGACCACCATCTTGGATCTCAACATGTACATATTATATTTGTTATCTCAAAATATTTGCTTACAAAAATTAGTCAAATGGTTGCCTAATAAAATTTCCCCAGCAAAGTTGTCAAAAGAATAATGTTATTAACTTAGGCAGGAACTCAAACATTGAAACAAAAACCATATCTGAGTATCTGATATATTTTATTTGTTCACATTTATCCTATTTGAGGGTAATACTACTTCATTTGACAGTTTAAAAATCATTCTGTAAACAAAATAGAAAACAGCAGCAACAACTGAAATAAGAACACAGTGTATAATAAAATAAAGGAATGTGCTGAAAGGAATATATTCAGAATAAGCAAAGAATATGTGACAATGACTATGAATTCAACAATAAAAAGAAAAAAAAAATCTTCCCATGTGTGTAAAAAACAAAATCCTAACAGTAGTAAAAAAGAAGCAAAAATTCAAAGTGCAGGTGCGCTAATTTTCATTTCCACATCCATTCAGGAAAAAGATAGAGCATACTATTCTTTTATATAAAGTGACAAGTTCTGTTTTAAAACATTCAGTTACATTATCTTGCAGATTTTTTTTTCAATTTACATTATCTCTACACTGATTGACAGGAAAGATGGTCATACGTGATACATGGTATAATTTCTTGAATCTATGGAGATTACAGAAATGGTAAAGTTTAATGTTTTAATTTTTGCTTTCTTTGCATGAATAAGAAGCTGGAAATCTAGTATCAGAAGTATCAGTACTTTTACTCTTTCAAAAAAACATATTGAACCCTCTCTCATCTTTGCTGCCCCTTTCAGATTCTCTGTAACAAAAGACTATTCATTCTCACTGAATTTTGGTTTCTTAAAATGAAGAATTGGTCTGATCTTTTTCCAATATAACCAAACAGAAGTGCTATTCTGGCATCACATAAAAATCATTTCTACATTTTTAACTGTGTAGACCCTTAAATGCTCTCCCCTTGAAGGGGAACATCTTTTGAATGTGAGTTTTGAAGAGAGAACTTTCATGAAATATATTTAAAATTCTAAAAAATATTTTTAATACCTCCTAAAGTGGTATAGGACTTACCTCAGCTGACAATGCCTTTTCTACTTAAGAACATTCTTGTATTTGTGGCATTTCATTTTCCTTAACAGCTCTAATTTTACTTAAAAAGCCCAGATACACAAATCATGGCCACCTTATTTAGCATTAAATAGCACTATTTTTTAAACCATGGACACAGCTCAACAGCAAGATTAATAAGTTATAATACACACATATCACTGACAGTCATCTTTTTTTGGAATTCACGGAACAAACTGTATTCTGGGAAATCCCCACCCTTCCCCCATCAACAGATTAAGAGAGTGTACTGTACCTACAGTGAGGCATTTAAATATTTTTCCAACAGTTTTCATTGTTTTGTAATATGAAAACACCGGGCTTCAAGCCGGGTACTAATAAATATTTAATTTAAAAGAAAGAAAGCTCAACACAGAAGAACATAAAAAAGACCCACTCCTGCCCCTCCCCAGGGTAGGTTCCCACATCAGCCTGACATGGCCGAGATCTCATAGTCACTGGCGGAGGTGAGGGGCTTGCCCATCATCCGGATGTTTTTAGCACTGGTAATTCTGGCCATCATGCACACAGGCTTGTCAAAGTACTTCACTAAGGCAGGCTCTGTTAACAGCGAGGCCAGGAACTGCTCGAAGGTGATGGCCCAGTCCCTGTCCAGGCTAGTGCTCTGGGGCAGTGCCGCTGTGCCCTGGCCACTGCGCACCAGGACTGTGTCCTCTCCGATGTCCTCACAATGCAGCTTGTCCTCCTCATGGGAGCCAGCACTCAGCACCGAGTAAGAGGACATGGAACTGTCGTCCTTGGTGTCATCGTCAGAGATCAGCATGGAGGAGCAGGCCCCATTGTCCCGGGGTGAGGAGTCCTCCAGCTTAATGTCCTCCATCTGCCCTCCCAGGGAGTGCTCCTCACTGTCCACTGCCAAGCTGGCTGGGAGGGGCTCAACGGACTCCACAACATAAGGCTGGCTCGGCCCTTTCTTGGGGAAGAGCATACTTGGGATGCCCTGGTTGCAGGGTGGCCCACCGCCCCCACTCCCACCCTCTTTTACAGGCTGGGTGATGAAGAGTTTGCCAACCTCCCCAATCTCAAGTAGGAGACTGGTCACTGCTGCCGTGGCATGGTATAGCTCCTGCTCATTGGGGTCCTCACTGAACATGTTATACATTGTCTTGCACAGCTCAATAAACTGGCCCTGAAAAATGATTTGGAAAAACAAAAGAATGTGACTATCTCATGGGGAAAATAGAGGCAGCCCTGAAGAGGTTAGAAGTACAACTCCATTTAAATGGAACTCTAGAGGCCCTGGGTGATACAGATGGTTAACACCCTCGGCTGCTAACCTAAAGATTGGAAGTTCAAGTCTACCCAAAGGTGCCTCAGAAGAAAGACCTGGCAATCTAAAAAAAAAAAAAAAAAAGCCATTGGAAACTAAGGAGCATATTTCTACTCTGACACACATGGAGTTATGATAAGTCTAAATAGACTTGATGGCAATTGGTTAAAGAGTTAAAGGATCTCCAAAAAGTTTATGTGCAGGATAGATTCATTTGCTCTTTAAAGTCTCTTTATTGATATTCTTTTTAATTATTATAAATTCAAATATACATGAAAATAGAAAGAAAGAAATAATAAGACTTCATATATCTATCACCTAGATGATAAATATGTTATACATTTAGCTTTTTTTCTTATCATTAGTTTTTTTTTTCTCTTTGTTGTAGTATTTTAACAAGGAGCTCTGGTGGCTTAGTGAGTTGTGACTGACTTGATGGCAGTGAGTTGTTTTTTTTTTTGGTAGTATTTTAAGGAAACCCCAGACATCATCTCATTTTACCTCTCATATGCACCTCAGTCTTTCAATGCTAAATTCCTTTCTTCCAGGGTACATCCCTGATCCCCACTAGCATAATGTTTCTGTTGTACAACATAGCATTTTCTATTTTGTATTATAATTATTTATCTTGTTTTAACACCCTTACTACATTTCAGCTCTTGAGGTATAAATATGTTAGATATCTTTAGGGTGAGTACAGTGATCTGTAAACAGCATGGGCTTGTGTTCTGAATATTTGAATGTGTTTCTAATGGCTGGGGATGAGAAATACGTACTCTAAAAACTGAATATTTATTGTCTCACATTTTCTCTGAGCAGGTCATTTTCTCGCAACCAAGCATACTTTCAATACACAAGAAACATGCACGAAATAGATTCAAACAGATACTAATTAAGTGCCCCAAGTTACCACTATCATCAAATATGAGTTTTGAAAATATGACTTTTATGAAATATATTTCAAATTCTAAAAAAATATTTTTTTAGGCATACTTATTCTATATTATCCATGACTGGAAAACAGAGATTCGAGGTTTGAACTGAATGCACTAAACTGTTCAGCACTTACCTGATTTAATTTGGGTAAATCCTTTACATTCTTTGACTTAGATTTATTTTCTGGAGTCCAAAGTCTTAAGTAGTTACGATTTTCTTGAGAATTTGCCCTCTTCCCTAAAACCCAAATGTTAAGAAATAAGTGTTCAAAGGTCAAGCAGAAAGGATTCAACTAGCAAGAAGGTAAATATACAGAAGAAAAAATCAGTACCTTTGTCTGGTTTGAGACTCACTGTAACAAAACCATCATCAGCACTCTGTTTGCTCCTGCTATCCAATCCAACAACTACAAAGGGATATTCAAACACAAAAAATGCCATGTATATAATATATTCATTTGTAATAGAAAGTAAAAAAAATCTCTAGGCTGGTTGTCAGATTCAGCAAATACAAATATGAACACTCAGTTAAATATGAATTTCAGATAAACAACAAATAATTTTTTAGTATAAATATGTCTCATGTAATATTTTTTAGTATAAGTATACCCCAAATATTGTATGATGCATATTTACTATACTAAAAAATTACCTGTTGTTTACCCGAAATTTGAACTTTACTTGGTGTCTTCTATGTTATCTGGCAGTCCTACCTTCTAAGTGAAGGACTTAAAAAAATTGTGGTGCTTGTCCCAGTAAATGTTGATCTCCCTCTCCTGTCTGCTACATTATCATCTCTACTTTGTATGACATTGCTTTCCTGCCAGCCCCTGCAAAATTTGATCAAGAACTAACTCTCTTAAGGAAACTAAAATCTCTGTTGATTAAAAAACAACAACAAAAACTTTTTGCTCAACTGTTGTGTGCTATAAAATCCCTTCAGCGTCATCATTTGGGATTTCAAAAATATGATTTTCAAGGGACACACTTTTAACTGTTTTCTTTTTTACTTCTTAAAATAGGATATTTACAGGGCAGATGAGGACTTTCAAAGGGAGACATGCACAACGTTCTGAAACTCCCATTCAACCTGTCAGCTGAAAAAGTGCATTCCAGCACTTCTTTAGCCATCCCAAAAGGTGGCTGGTTTACTGGGTATGTGACTTTTACTGTGTTTGGGGTTCAATTAATCTCAGCAGCTTTGAAGACAGAGTGAGGACAATATATTATTTGTCACTGAAAAAAATACCTTTCCTCTTAATGTTGCAAATGATTCAGGAAACAAATACTCAAAAACATTTAATGTATGAGTAAACTCATAAAATGGATATCATATACTGTTATTTTTCAAAGAATTTTTAATGACACAGCAACATGCTCACTGGATTTTATGGGAAAAAAGGAGGATACAAAACAGTATGGGCAGTTTGACCCCAGTTATCTATATTATTATTCTATTGACATATATCATATGAAATATGAATAAAAAAGACTGAAAAGAAATATTTCAAGACAATGTGACAAGATTTTAAGACATCTTTAGCTTTTTTAGGAGCTCTGGTGGTGTAGTGCCTAAGGCATCTGACTGCTAACCAGAAGGCTGGCAGTTCAAACCCACTAACCACTCCTCAGAAGGAAGGTTGGGCAATCTACTTCCGTAGTGATA